ATCGAAAACATTCTTTGTTTAGTGTGTTAGTTTTTATCTGGTAATTATGCCACGAAGATAAAACTTTTTAGCTTGAAGGAAAATCTTGTTATTCGATTTTTGTTGTTGTTGTTGTTTAGGGGAATTTGAAGTTTCTTTGTACATACTTTGGGATAGTTAATTTTTTTTCATCTGTACTCTTATAAATTGAGTGTGAACACACAATACTAAGAGGATTGGATGTGATCAAAAATAAACTTATTAAAAAAATTACAAATTTAAGTTTAAAAATTTTATTATAAAATATAACAGTTTGTTTGTAATTAAGCACAAAACTACACAATGGGCTATTTGTGCTCTGCCTACCACGGATATCGAAACCCGAATTCTAGCGTTGTAAGTCCGCAGACATACCGCTGTGCCAATGGGGGACAAAACGTAACAGAAGAAACACTGTACACAGTATTTGACATGTCATGTATAAAATAGAGGGAAAATAAAGATGAGAAAAATAGTTTCTTATGAGTAACGGAAAATAAAATTGTTCCACTGCCACCAGTTTTAACTGTTGTCAAGTAGTAGTCAAACCCCTAAAAATGGGACCGATAATAATGTAAAGTAAAATAAAAAAAAACAACATAACATATCATAACCATACAACTTTGCTTTTATTTTTAGTCGCGGCATAGCGGCTCATATAACGGCTCTGTTTTTGTTGTTGTTTTAAGTACAAACGTTTTTGCTCATAGCTCCGTCATCTCTTCACCAACTCGAGATCTGATTACAGTTTTGGACTCAGGAGGTCAAACCTTTTCGATTGATATATTTGACCACGTCCAAGGTCACACATATTAATTTACTCTAATCCTTCCTGAAAGAATTTCAAGTTGAGGGTAGGTTTGTAGAGATCCCGATGAGTAATAAAATTGAAATGGGTATACGCACACCCTACATTTAGTATTGCTAGTTAATAAAGCTAAAAAAAAAGGAAAAAGATCGCATAGATTAATCTACTCTAATCCTGCTTAAAAGAATTTCAAGTGCCGCGGCTATTGAGGATTCCCTCTTGTTTCTGGAAGAAGTCGTGCCACTATTGATCGTTGAAGTGGTTTTTAAACGTTTCCTTCTCACAAGAAACATTAACATAAAATGTATACACAAGTAACACTACTAATCGTACTAAGACAAACACAAACAATGTATACACAAACAAACACTACTAATAGTACTATGATAAAACTCTCGGGATTTATACACAAACAATACTACTAATTGCACAAGGAATCTCAAAGTATATACAAATAACACTACTAATCGTACAAGGGCAAACACACACAATGTATACACAAATGGCACTACTAATCGTAGAAGGAAATTCAAAGTATTAGGTCGTCAAGAAATTAATGTTGCGTTTTGGAACACTTTCATTAACCACTCCCACAAAAAAACATACATCACGAACCGCCTGAACGTCACATTAATGTAGCTTATATAATGTGTAAAATGTAGTATACTTTAATCCCTTGTAGTGATGGAACACGACGAGACACACATTCGGCATGTAATGCTGTTTGGATACAAGAAGGGAAACAACGCCTCTGTAGTCACAAAGAATATCATATAAGCTTATGGAAATGTTTTGAACGTGCGTGAATGTAAACTATGGTTCAGCAAATTTCGTTCAGGTGACTTTAGCCTTAAAAACTGTGATGGAAGGGGCCGACATGTTGGAATTGATATTGATGCTCTGAAGACGCTTTTTGAGTCTAACATGGCTCAGTCCTAGACAAAAACCACTTCCGACCCCAAAACTTGGACTCCATCCGCAGAAAGTGATGCTTTGCATTTAATGGGACATCAAAGGAGTAATTCATTTCGAAGTCCTCAATCCACAGCAAACTGTCAATGCAGAGATTTATAGTCAGCAACTGGAACGTTTAAATCAAGCCCTTCATAAGAAACTCCCTTCACTCGTCAATCGGAAAGGTGCACGACCACATATGGAACGTTGGACGCAACACAAGATTATGGAATTGTGTTGGGAAGTTCTCCCCACCTACCATATTCTCCAGATATGACAGCATCAGATTACCATCTTTTTCGTTCGCTGCAACACTATTTTAACGGGAAAACTTATGCAAATGTGGAAAGTGTTAAAGAGGACATCGACATGTTTTCTTCTTCAAATCCAAGTGATTTCTTTAATCAAAGCATTAACAACCTGATTGTAAGATGGAAAAGCATCATCGATAAGAATGGAAACAATTTCATTTAATAAGTTTTAGTTTTGACATATAAGTTGTTTTGGATTTTTTTTTTTTTCATCTAAAAAAAGCGACATTATTTCTTGACGACATAATGTATACAAATAGCACTGGTAATCGTACAAGGGCAAACACACTCGATGTATACACAAATGGCTCGATTAATCACACAAGGATACACAAATAACACTACTAACCATAAACGTGCAGATACACAGCATATACACAAATGGCAGTACTAATAGTACAAGGATACACAAACAGCTTTTATGCTTGTATCTGTATGTCTTTAAGTTGGGTTGTGCAGTAGTTTACTTTAACTATCTGATTCTCATTCTGTGACACCCCCCCCCCCCGGTAGCTCGGCGGTAAGGTCGAGAGTTTATGACGCTTGAAATCAAAGTTCAATCCCTACGACTGACTCTGCTCAAATAGCTCATTGTACAGTTTTTATGCTAAAATAAAAATGTAACATTAGCGATTCGAAGTTGTTCATTTATTTGTTGGTCTACATTTTTTATTGTTATACTTCTGATCCAACATGCAGAAGCTAATTTTAATGTGTACTCTGTAT